AGATAAAACTAATGGGAAAGCCCTGGATTCCCTTTTATCATCAAACACATGAGCATCAACAGGGCCTTAAGTAAAGCCAGCATAATCCATTCTTAATGCTCAGTTTTCACAACTAGCACACTCCCCAAGCATCTGTAATTTTACTTGGACACTTTTGGGGGATACTTGTTTGGGCACCCTTTTCCAAAAAAAATCTTTTCTGAGTAATTAAGGATATCTGCAACAAAACATATTATTAAGTGGACCTTGATTTTTCTACATTTGATTCCAAGAAGTAATTTATGTCTCTGCCCTCCAATCATCTTATTGCTAGAGAGATAGATAAGACAGAAGAAAGAGAAAGGAATATGAAATTTATCAGCAATTATGTCTTTCAACACCTGTTGAAAGTCCATTAATGAATTTTTGAAGTATGTTTTCCTTAAGCAGGATTCCAAGCTCCTTGATGGGACATTCCATTTTGTTTTTTATTCAACTATCACAGTAATATCAAAGTAACTCTCAATCATAGCTGCCAAATTGAAGCAGCCAAAGAGCTTTTTTTTATCATATCAGTATTTAGGCCCCACTGCAGACCCATAAAGTCACCATCTCTTGGGGGTGAGGTGCAGACTTGAGTCATTTCTGAAAGCTCCAGGTGATTCTATTGTAAAGGCAGGATGGAGCTAGCTTATTACTTTACCTAGAATAGGTGTCATTTGCTACTTTAAGGAACCATTAAATCTTTTTAATCACCCCACGATTTCTATGAAAACAGCAACACTTCATAGATTTAACACAGTTTCTCTATAATAAATTCTCATTAACCTACTCCATGGTTAATTGAATAAAGCTTTTGTTGAAAACAAGCAAACAAAATAAAGCCACTACTTTATTTGCACCTCTATTTCATTCCACTTGCAAAATGTCCCTGAGATACCTGCTGATTAAAATCCCATAAGGTGCCTTTGCATACATGACATATTCCTGCACATATACCTTTAATATTCACCTTTTTTTTTTTTTAAAGAAAGAGACACAAAAGGAAAATGAAAGAGGCTTACTTGAATATGGCACTTCTGACTGGATGGTAAGAGTATAATTTAAGAATATTTTGTCATGATCAAAATCATAAAAATATAGTTCAAATGTATATTAGTTTAAAATAGTTAAAACCAATTTTTGGGAACGTCTGAGACAGTCTGGCACAATAGATTTATAAAAGTGCAAGGCAATATTTCTTCTTTCTGTTTCTTTATGAACTTCCCAGAAGATTAGTTTTGGTTTTCTTTTCTGGAATATGAAACTATGGAACCTTGAGATGACTGTGAACAGTAAATAGCATAATGGAGGAAAAATTGATTTTTAGTTTGTGCCACAATATTCTGGTATATGGTATTTTTATTATTATTTCACCTTATTAACCTAAAAATTTTATATGTAAATGAATATTTTAGCTGGGAAACAATGTAAATATAATCATTAATTATAACTTTTATTATGCAATTACTAGGTACTCAACTTCTTGTTAAGTAATTTACATGATTTCATTAAACCTTCACAGCAACCCAGTAAAGAAAGTACAGTTATTATCTTTATTTTACAGATTTGGAAACTGACGTTTATGGGTTCTAAGTCTTCCAGCAATTTCAAGTAAAGATTTCCTGTAGGTCTAAAAATACTTAAATTTTTTCTGCAATTATTGGCCTAAGAATTCAGACTGATTTGTTCCTCTTTATGTCTTTGTATATTCTCATATCAAAGACAATTTCATTTCCATGTAGATGCACAGTAAGAGCACTGAGAAAAGGAATGCCATTATTAAACATGGTTCACCAGAGTAATGCACCTCAGGCATGCCAGATTCCAGCTCCAGATGACAGTCATTCTCTCCCTGGCCTTTCCTTGAACTCTACCAGACTCTAAAAATAAAATAATTGCCCTATTCTTACATATTGATTATGTGATAACATGTGCCATCCTAACTTAAAAGGTAAACTCTAGATGTAGGGCTTTCTAATTCTTCAAACAAGGTATACTGTACAAGATTCCATTCATTTTCACCTTGTTTTTCATTTGAAATGGAAGAATGGTAATATTGGGGAGATTATTTTAGGTGATGTGCCATTGTACAATGAAGGTAACTCAGGCAAGGCTGAGGAGAGACAAGGAGGTGATTCTGAATGCTCTTTTGACATATCCACAAGGTGGCCAGTCCCATTTTAGAACAGGGAGTGAATTATGCCTAGATCCAGCATCACATGCAGCTTAATAGATAATAAGCAAACACCATTGCAACCATGTGCTCTTTCATTACAATGCCATCTTTGATTTGTGTCTGTTCACCAGATTCTAGCAATCTTAACGAAGCTTTACCATTCTGTAAAATTAGTATTTCATTGGCCTATGTCTCAAGCTCATTGTATATGATGGAGTCAGCTAGAAAAAGCAAGAGAAATATCCATCTTAATGCTGACTGGGATCTCAGTTTGGATTTTATTTTAGCTTACATTTTATTTCAAAGTTACTTTATCAAAGCATTTAAGGGATACAAACTTTACCTTTTAACACCTAAACTCAAAGTACTAGCATCAAGAATGGTTTCAACAGACCATTCGTTGAGAAGATCATAAAAAATAGCTTGCTTAAATTTGCAAAAGCTTTGAGGACAGAAATGAGGATGAAACAATGATACTTGTTCAGTCTTTTCATATATCCTCTGTTGAAACCTCTTGAGGACCTGGGGGATTTCTTGGCAGAAGCAATATTGCAAATGGTCGATTTATTGGCATGGAGGGCAGCAATATGAAATAGGGTTGGTACGCTACTTTCTTCATCAGGATATCCAGACAGAGATCTGATTCTGTCTTTTTATCTGAAATGGTTTACTAAGCGATTGATTGCTTTGAGTTTGTAAGGAATTGAGGTTTGGCTAGGAGTCTGTAATATTTGGGAGGGGATGAAATAACCACATGGAGGATAAACGAAGGACTTTGCTAAACAGTACGAACCCTCATGAGCAATATTAATGTTGTCTTCTGACTATGCCATACGTACAAGCCCTACAAAAGACTAATGTCTTCAGATGTACTGTGATTAGCTTAAACCATGTCTGTGTTCTGCACAGCCCATCAGAGCCTGGTTCACAGCCCACCATGACAGCCTGAGTTTGAGACATTTGCATCAAATCAGTTCAGTACTGCAGCGTCTCCTGCCACATTTATGTGGATGTCAGTAAGTTTGCTGCAGAACTCCATTAAAGGTCACCAAATTCCACTGGGGAAAAACCTGGTTTCCAATTCTGGCCCTGTCATTTCCCTAATTTGTGACTTTATGCACAAGTCCCTTAATTTCTCTGTAGTGTTAACAGTCTCAACAGTAAAACAGCAGTAATAAGGTCTTTTAAAAGGGCTAGGGCGAGGCTCAGACCAGACCACATGAAAATCCCTTCTGAACTGGCAAAGTGCTGTACGTTAGCTGGCCTCTTTCTGCACCTACACCAATCCCCAACCAAGCTCTGTCACCACTTAGCAGCTTTGGGGGAGGTAGTCTGTGGCAAAGCTAAATACCACATTCTCCATAGAGTCCTGAGCCCCAGGCAACAGTTAAGATTTGCTGAGCTTTTTCATTATATTCCCCTTCTTTTCCAGAATCATGGCTTTCCACAGAAAATGCCTCGACAAGAGTTTAGCTGACAGGCTGGAAATCAGAGCAGGAAAGATAATGTGAAAGAACCATATGAAAACATGCACATTTCTTCAGCGAGAATAGGAATATTTTGTTTCTGTTGTTATTTTTCATTCCTTTTTTATCCTTTATCATTTTTTTAAATTGTTTTTTAAAATAGTTTATATTAAGAAAATGGATATAATGAAAAATGATATAGAAAAAATATAAATAATTACAAATCTACCACCCAACCAAATAAAAAGAAAATTATCAATGCAATGAAAGCCCTCTCCTCCCCTCAGCCCTGTGTATTTCTTCCCAATTGTAACCAATGACTTTTGCTCTTAGTGTCAGCTTCTATTCTGAATTTCATGTTAATCACTGTCTTGTTCTGCTTTATAGTTTTGCTACCTGAGTATTCATCTTCAAATAACATAATTTACATTTGAGAACTACCTTCAAGATTTTATATAAATGAAATCTTACTATGTATATATTCTTGCCTTTCATTCAACATCATGTTTGAAAACGTCATTCAGTTGATTGTATGTAGTCGTATTTTATGAATATTCACTGTAGAACAACATTCCATTTGTAAATATACAGTGCATTTTATATATTGTTATTCTGTTGATGACATTTGGATTATTTCCAGTTTGTGGCTATTAGGAACAAAGATGTTTGAGAAAGATTCCTGCACTTGTCAACATATGCAACAGTTTCTCTTTTACTGCAGGCATGTTCTGTGAAAGGTGTGCACATCTTCAGCTTTACAAGATAATACCAGGTTGTTATCCAAAATACTTGTACCACTGTACAATTTTAACAACTTCTGGTTTTTCTCTACGTGATATCATTTAGTGTTTGGCTTTTACCTTAAACTAGATTTCCAAAAATGTTTTTTTTTTTTTTTCTTTTTGAGATAGGGTCTCACTCTGTTGCCCAGGCTGGAATGCAGTGGCATAATCAAGCTCACTGCAGCTGCAGCCTCGATCTCCCAAGCTCAAATGATCCTCCCACATCAGCCTCCTGAGAAGCTGGAACTGTAGGCATGCTGTAGTCCTGTAGACTACACCCAGCAAATTTTTTATTTTTTGAAATATCTTTGTAGAGAGAAGACTTTGCTATGTTGCCAGGCCATCCTTCTGCCTCAGCCTCCCCAAGTGCATAAGCCACTGCACCCAGGGTGAAAAATTAGTGACTATAATTTTCCTTCTTTGCTTCTCTGACATAGCTTTGGGACATGGTCTAAATTAACTATTGTTGGGTGGGTTTATAGGATTGGCCTGTGTATTTAGTCTCCTAGGCCTGCCATAACAAATTTCCACAAATTAGGTGGCTTAAAACAACAGAAGTTTATTCTCTCATAGTTCTAGAGGACTGAAGTCAGAAATCAAGATGATAGCAGGGTCCTGCTCTCTCAGAGGCTCTAGGGGAGACTGTCTCCTGCCTTCTCCTAACTGCTGGCAGCTCACAGTGGTCCTCGGTCCTCCATGGCCTGATGCTGTGTCACTCCTCTCTGCCTCTGTCTTCACATGGTCTTCTTCTCTGTGTCTCTGTGTGTCCTTTCCTCTTATAAAGACACCAGCCATTGCATTCAGGGCTTATTCTAAATCTGGGACGATTTCATCTTGAGATCCTGAACTAATTATATCAGCAAAGGCCCTGCTTTCAAATAAGGTCACATGCACAGGTACTGGGAATTAGAACTTCACTGTATCTTTTTGTGGCACACAGTTCAAACCGCTACTGCTTGCACTGAGGGAAGGGAAGAAGAGGGAAGGAAAAAAATTATTAGTTTGTGAAACAATTACCACACATATTGTATAATTTTTTATTGCTTAAGATGTTAGCATTCTCACAGGAGAGAAGTTAAAAAGTTGCCCACACAAAATCACATGCCTGCTTTAAAAAAGAAACTCTTTTGATTCTATTAGTTGCCTTTGAAGACAGGCAAGTAGTTGAAAGAAAGTAGGTCAGGGTTCTGAGAAGGTCACCTAAGGCATGTGTGCCCTATCTTTGCACCTGAGTCCCCTACTGAAGTATGAGATGACTCAGAAGATGTCCAGCAAAGTTGCCATTTTTCCTGGGGACATTCTGACTTTGTGTGAGTGATTTTCCATTTGCTAAAAGTCCTGGGTTTCATTTTTTTTTAACTTTAAGTTCTGGGGTACATGTGCAGACCTTTCAGGATTGTTGCATAGTTATACACATGCCATGGTGTTTTGCTGCCTCCATCCCCCCGTCACCTACATTAGGTATTTCTCCTAATGTTATCCCTCCCCAATCTCCCCACCTCCTACTATCCCTCCCCCAGACCCTCACCCCCCCAACAGACCTCAGTGTGTCATGTTCCCCTCCCTGTGTCCATGTGCTCTCATTGTTCAACATCCACTTATGAGTGAGAACATGCGGTGTTTGGTTTTCTGTTCTTGTGTTAGTTTGCTGAGAATGGCTTCCTAGTATTCCCTGGTGTATATGTGCCACATTTTCTTTATCCAGTCTATCATTGATGGATTGGGTTGGTTCCAAGTATTTGCTATTGCAAACAATGATGCAATGAGCATACGTGTGCATGTGTCTTAATAATAGATCTACTTATAATCCTTTGGGTATATACCCAGTAATGGGATTGCTGGATCAAGCAACCTGACTTCGAACAATACTACAAGACTACAGTAATACAGCATGGTACTGGTACCAAAACAGATATATAGACCAATGGAACAGAGGCCTCAGAAGTAATGCCACACATCTACAACCATCTGATCTTTGACAAACCTGACAAAAACAAGCAATGGAGAAAGGATTCCCTGTTTAATAAATGGTGTTGGGAAAACTGGCTAGCCATGTGCAGAAAGCAGAAACTGGACAACTTCCTTACACCTTATACAAAAATTAACTCCAGATGGATTAAAGATTTAAACATAAAACCTAACACCATAAAAACCCTAGAAGAAAATCTAGGCAATACCATTCAGGACATGGGCACAGGCAAGGACTTCATGACTAAAATACCAAGAGCAATGGCAACAAAAGCCAAAATAGACAAATGGGACCTAATTAAACTTAAGAGCTTCTGCACAGCAAAAGAAACAATCATTAGAGTAAACTGGCAACCAACAGAATGGGAAAATTTTTTTGCAAGCTACCTATCTGACAAAAGGCTAATAACCAGAATCTACAAAGAACTAAAACAAATATACAAGAAAAAACAAACAACCCCATCAAAAAGTGGGCCAAAGATATGAACTGATACTTTTCAAAAGAAGACATTTATGTAGCCAACAAACATATGAAAAAATGCTCATTATTACTGGTCATTAGAGAGATACAAATCAAAACCACATTAAGATACTATCTCACGCCAGTTAGAATGGCGATCATTAAAAATTTTGGAGACAACAGATGCTGGAAAGGATGTGGAGAAATAGGAACGCTTTTACACTGTTGCTGGGAGTGTAAATTAGTTCAACCATTGTGGAAGACAGTGTGGTGATTCCTCGAGGATCTAGAAACAGAAATACCATTTGACCTGGTCTTCATTCTTTTATAGTTTAGTAGGGCTGATGTTACTGTTAGAGGGGAGAATATCTCATGGTTACAGGAGCCAAGCTAAAAGCTCCATTGACTGAACTCATCATCCTGCCCTTCATCAGCCTTAGTGCCGTGAATCACACCTTTAGAGAGTTTATAGTGTGGGTTTACCTAATGTGGGAGCACCCTGTTAAAATAGAAATGTCTCAAGTGGGGTGGGGGTGTTGAAGGAAGAAGATATTAAATGAGCTTTAGACATCACTACTTGAAACACTGGCTTAACAGATAATATCTTACTATTTTATAGTAATATGTTGGTAAAATAGTAAGATATTATCTTTAAGATATTATCTGTTACTTTGGCAGAGGTCTAAAGTAAGCATTAACCTCACAATCCATAGTTTCAGGGGCAGGGATTATGGTGATCAGTTAAAGAAGGAATGGATCGGAGAAAGTAACTTGGTGAGACAAAACCTTCTTTTTCGACACTAGAACCTTTGAACACATGTGTCTGACCTGGTAAGTCACCATCTCTTGCAATTAGGACCAAAGATATCTTTCTCTTGACGCTCTCTTCCTGTTATTTATCAGCTAGGTTTAAACCTTGGCTCCACCTTTACTCCAACTCTTTTGTATGTTCTCTCAATTCTTGATAATTTCTGTCTAAAATAGCAGGTAAATAACTCTTTAAAAAACTTTATTGCTATATAATTTATGTACAGTAAATATAATTATAATATAAATATAAATAAATATATATAAATATAAATAAATATATATAAATATAAATATATATAAATATAAATAAATATAAATAAATATAAATATATAAATATAATTATTTGAGTTTTGAAACCTGCATATACCTGCTGTTTTGTAGACATTTGGGTCGCCCCCCCTCAACTTTTGACTATCAAAAAATAATTGCCACAAACATTCGTGTACAAGTTTTTGTGTGGCTATAGGTTTTCCTCTTAGGCAAATATCTAGGAATAGAAGGTCTGGGTTTAACGGTAGATATATGTTTACCTTTATCAGAAGCTGCCAGACATTTTTCCAAATTGATCTGACCATTCTACATTCCCAATAAAATATATACAAATTTTAGTTGCTTTATATTTCAACCAATATTTGCTGTTAGTCACTTTAATTTTAGCTATTTCAGCGAGTATATCGAGGTATGTCATTGTGATTTTAACTTTTTTCCCTGATGACTTATGATGTTGAGCACTTTTAAATGTACATTTTGAATGTTATATGTTCTTCCCTGAAGTGTCTTTTCTTTTTTTTAATATTTACAGCAGCTTTGTTCATAATCATCAAAACTTGGAATAAATCATGATTCTGATGTCCTTCATTAGGGGAATGGATAAATTAACTGTGGCATATCCTGACAATGGTATGTTATTCAGCACTAAAAAGAAATGTGCTATCAAGCCATGAGAAGACATGAAGGAAACTTAAATGCATAGTACTAAGTGTAGGAAGCCAATTTGAAAAGGCTGCATACTCTGTAATTCCAAGTATATAACATCTGGAAATGACAAAACTACAGAGACCATATAAAGATCAGTGCTTGCCAGGGGTTGGGGATTGGGGGATGGATACATGGAGCACAGAGGATTTTTAAGGCGGTGAAGCTACTGTGTGTGACACTATAATGATAGATACATGTCATTATACATTTGTCAAAACCCACAGAATGTACAACAATAGTGAACTCTAATGTCAACTGTGGACTTTGGGTGATTATGATGTGTCAACATAGGTTCATCGGCTGTTAACAAATGTACCCCTCTAGTGGGGCTATAAATCTGTGATGACTTAAATGAAAAATCCCCAGGATTGTAAACTGATTAATTATAAATGATTTGATTTTTTCTTTATTTCATTTTATATTACTTTTTAAGACCCAGCCAAGAACATTTCCATATGATGTGTGTATATCCATAGAATTATATTATGTCTGCATATGCAGTTTTAGCCTATGCTATAAAATGCCTACTTTTAAAAAAAGCTGTTGCTTTCTTAGAGCAGTTTGAGGTTCACAGCAAAAGTGAAAGGAAGTTACAGAGATGTTCCATATACCCCTTGCCCCCACACATTTGAAATGTCTTTTCAAACCTTTTCCTCGTTTATTAAGTAGCTTGTCTCATTATTGAGTTGCAATACATCTTTATGTGGTCTGAATAAAGTCGTTTGTCAGACCTACATATTACAAATATTTCCTCCCACTTTATGGCTTGCTTTTTAATTTTCATAATGTTGTCTTACAAAGAGAAAAAGGTTTTCATTTGATAAAATACAATTTTTTCATTTTTAAAATGTATGGTTTCGTGCTTTCTGTGTTCTGTGTAAAAATCTTTGCCTATCTCAGGAATACAAAGGTTTTTATTCTTTTTTACAAGAAGATTTATATTTAAGTTTTACCTTCAGATCTGTGATATATTTTAATTTTCTAATATACCATGATGTAAGAGATAATGATCATTTTTATAGATATCTGTGTGCTTTCACTCCAGAAGTATATAATTGATAAATATTTCTACATATAATCTATCTTTATATCTACATTAGTCTAACATGAATTCATACTAATGTCTCCTACTCTAATCAATTGCCATATAGATCATTCTAGCTATTGTCAGTTTTTAGATTTTATAACATATTATAGTATAGTAGTTGTTAGTGGATTTTACTTAGTAATTTAATTTGTTTAATAGCTATAAAATTTCTTTCATGTTGTAATTTTGCTAATTTTTACCTTTAAAGGAATTTGCCCATTTTATTTAAGCTCTCAGGTTTATTTTACTTCAATTTTTTTTTGGTCCTTTCGGTGTTTCAACGTCTGTCATGAAGACACCAAACTTGGTGTCTTTGCCTGACAACTCCTTAGTGTTTAGCCAAAGGCAGCGAAACCATCCCCAGATGTGAATTGGCAAAAGCAGAAGGATCACATTAAAACATTGGCTAGAAAACCTACTGCTGTTTAAAGACAGGGATTTATTAAGAGTAAAACATCAGTGGTGCATCCTTATGTCCTCCCTTTCTTAGAAAATCAGTTTTTGAATTTCTCTTTGACTCTGACAGCCTTTAATTATATAACTGGTAGAGAAATTCAACTTTGATTTTCAATATGCAAGAAAAAGAGCCAGGAAAAAATATATTTTAATGTATTAACTAATATTTATTTACTGCAAAGACGTACAAAGAAGAAAACAAGGGTTGGATAATTTCCCTTGTCAGATAACTTTGGTATTTTTATAAAATTAATAATATATGAGGCCAAAAATAGATAAAAATGTACAAATCAAAAAAATAAAATTCTTTTATTTTGTCCCCACCCCATCTCTCAGGCTTTCTCCAAAGCATAACTGATTGATGGTTTTATATATCGTACAGTGGGGAGGGCATTGCACGTACTTAGATCTTTCTTTTCCCTGTAAATGTGTATGTTTATTTTATAATATATGATCAGACTAGATATACTGTCCTACACTTTGCTTTATTCTTTTGATTATGTGATATTTCCATATAATTTCCATATAATTATATTTTCATATAATTACAGGTCTAATTTGGTTTTTTTAATGACTTCATAGTGTTTTACTATTTTAAAGTTCCATAAGTTGTTTAATCCCTGCTGATGGACTTTGGTTATATCTAGTTCTTTTACAAACAGTGTTGCAATGAACACCCTCATGTATGAAGACAGGAACATGCCACACACACACAATTAAACACACGCATTGACATAAACTCTTTTCATGTATATTCAGGGACATTTTTAGAAGTAAACTTTCTTTGAGTGTGTGTATATATAGTAAAATTATTGGGTCAAAAGCATGTTTATTTTATATTTTGATAGTAATTGGCAAATTTTCCTGTTGTAAAATTATACCAAGTTATTATCTTATAATGTACAAGAGCTCACATTTTCCAGATCTCTAACAGCACCAGATGACCTCAAAGTTTTAATTTTTTGTCTTTCTGTGAGGCAAAACATGATGTTCCATTTATTTTTTATTTGCATTTTCATGAACGAATGAAACTGAATATCTCTTGTATGATAACTATATTGTTTTCTGTAAATTGCCACTTCACGTTCTTTTGCCATTTTTCTACTAGGTTGTGAGCCATTTTTTATTGGGTGATATGAGCATGTTATCACTAAAAGTATTGGCCAGGCGTGGTGGCTCACGCCTGTAATCCCAGCACTTTGGGAGGCTGAGGCGGTGGATCATAAGGTCTGTAGATCGAGACCATCCTTGCTAACATGGTGAAACCCATCTCTACTAAAAATACAAAAAATTAGCCAGGCATATTGGTGTGTGCCTGTAGTCCCAGCTACTTGGGAGGCTGAGGCAGAAGAATCACCTGAACCTGGGAGGCAGAGGTTTCAGTGAGCTGAGATAGTGCCACTGAACTCCAGCCTAGGCGACAGATCAAGACTCTGTCTCAAAAAAAAAAAAAAAAAAAAAAAAAAATCTATAAATATGGCAAAGGTGTGTTTCCTTGATTTTTTGGTAATGTTCATGTTTTGGTACAGAGGTTTATAATTTTTCTATTATATATCACCTCAGGGGAAAAAAGTCCCTTAACCATATAACTGTGTACCTTTCTAAGGAGTATTTTCATTAATCTCTTTAAAGTTATGTCTCACTATGTAGGTAGAGACTTTTCTTTCATTCAAAGAATAGCTCAGTATTCCTTTATTAGAGAGGAGGAAAGAAGAAAGAACAATTTTTGCTCTCTAAGTGCAGGCTGCCCGGGTGAACAGCTTGGCAGAGAGTGTTTGGTTGTCTCTCTGTGGTTGGATAAAGTATTTTTTCTTTCTTTATTTTTTCCTGCTTCCCAATTAATTTTGAGGCAAAAGAAATCTGAAATAAACACTAAGAGTAATATTGTTCTTGTTTTGCGTTCAAATTTAGAATGTATTCTGTAGATAACATTAAATACACTTTAGGATTTTAGATTCTAAACTTTTGACACCGTTTACATTGTATATGTGTTTAAAACAAGTAACTCTTTATGAGTTTTCTCCACTTAAGCCAGTTTTAGTTTGAGGTATTTTTGTTTAGATGACACTTTTATCTTTCCCATTTTAAGAGGTTGTAAGTTGCAGAGAGGAAGATAATCTTAGAAACTCTTTGATTTAAAAAAAAAAAAATACATATCAAGATTCCCAGACTTTCTTTGCTTCCTCTTAGCCATAGCTATGATGAAAGACTATGTCAACATTTTGTTAGACATTAAAAGAACTTTAGGGACCACCAAAGTGAGATTTTTAATAAGGTGATTGCCCGAAGTGAAGATTATTGTTTTTCACGAGAGAGCAGAGAAATCCTTTGAGACTCAAGACTGCTTTCCAGCGGGCCAGCTCCGCCATGCATTCGCACTCCTAGGCTTGCTGGGAAGTCCTTAGGGCTCTCATGGGCCTTCCAGTATTTTCTCACAAGGTGCCTTGCTGTTGAGCTCCTGAGTCATGAGGCACCAACAGTTTGACTAGGCTCTCTACCCAGCTTGGAGCATGGTAAGCAGCTTTACTCCTCCTCCCCTTAGGATGGAGGAGTCAATCTGCAATTACGACTTGCTAGGGGCCTGCAAAATCTGCAATTTGCCTATGGTGAGCAGTCAATTGACCCATCTCAGGGAAAAGTTAGGGTTGGTAGTTTCACTTTTCCTCTTATAAATCCTCAGAACTAAGCAAAAGAAAAATCACAGGCAGCCCGTCACAGGATCTGGCTATTTTATAGGAGCTCTGGGGTGACTTAGAAATGGTTGTGATTTTTGTAGCCATTAGTGTCTTCCAAAGAGCTGGCTCAGCATAATTTCCAGGGAAGCAAAACGTTCCTTTGGATTTTTCCCATCTTTCCTTCTAACTTACGCCCTATGGTTTCCTGTGTTCCCTGGCTTCCCTCTGACTGGATAAAGTCTCTAATCAGATGCGTGTTCCATGCTCAGAAGTATTCTACAGTCAAAAATTACCTTCCTTTTTCTTTTTCCTTCAGAAATTATTACCAAATTCTTCTTCCTCCCTTTTTTTTTTTAATGACTTAGGTTTGATTTTGTATTAACATTTTCTTTTCTTTGTATACTATTAGCTCTTTTACTTAGAGAAGAGTAGACAATAAATGTCCCTCTGGTGCTAAGGATATTCCACACTTGGCTCCTTTTCGGTAGTTCTGGCTCAGCAGAACCAGAGGGAGCTGCATGGAATGCATGGTGGTCATCCTCGGAAACTTGAAGCAACATGATCGAGTCCACTACAAGGTCAGCTCCATGAGGGAAAAGTAATTTTTTGTTTTATTCCCTGCTGTTTCTCAGCCCCAAAAAAAGGCCTGGCATATGTACATGCTCAGAAAATACTTGTTGAATAAATGAATGAGTAGGTAAATGCTTTGTTTCTTCTCTCTTGTCCACCAAAAACCAGGCCTCCCTATGCCACAGTTTCACTCAATCCCCTTGCCTATTCCTTCTCTCCCAGAACCTGGAGAGCTGCTGGATGTCCTGGGCATTTTGTAAGTGTTCTCTGGTAGTCTAATGGTCAGTAGTGCCCAACTCATGGTTCATTTGGAGTAAGCACATGTTATTAATAATATATGTAAAGGACTTAGGACAATGCCTCTTATATAGCAAGTCCTCAGTAAATGTTTATTATTTTAAACAAATCTACTGACAACCCAAAAATTGATTCAGAATTTCTGATTGAAATTTTGTAATACCAAAATAGGAAAAATATATGTGTGAACTGACTGATCTCTAAATTGTGCCATAACAAATCTTCCCAAAAAGTAATGCGTTGAAACAGCAATAATAATATATTATCTCCCATGATTTCTATGGGTTAGGGAAACCATCATTGAAAAATTGTAACTGAGACAGTGAAAGAGATCTGGCCCAACCAACGCCATCTTGCTTCTTAACTCCAAGCTATCCTTGTTCATTCCTGGGCATAGGCTGAACTAACTTTGGTGGAACTTAGTTTATCGTTTAAAACAGAAATGATAACAGTCCTTTCCCAAAACAAACCTCCTTCTTGCCTGAGGACTAGACTGCCTTTGTAGGACTAACAAATTAGTCAAGAGATTAGAAATTACGGTTTATGTCTGGATGCTATAAGATTCTGACCCTCCCCAAATGGCTCCTGGGGATAACATCACTATTGTAAAAACTAAGAACAGTACTTGAGATATTTTGCAGACTCTGCACTTGATGGATTAACTGGCACTACCCAGATCAATAAACTGGCTCATTTGATGTTGTGGCCCCCACCAGGAACTTAACACAAAAAGACAGTTTCAACTCCCTATAATTTCATCTCTGACCTAATCAATCAGCACTCCTGACTTACTGCCCTACCCTCTCCCCATCAAATTATTCTTAAAAACCCTGATCCTCAAATGCTTGGGGAGACTGATATAAGTAGCAATAAAACTTGGGTTTCCCATACAGTCAGTTCTGTGTGAATTACTTTCTCTATTGCAATTTCCCTGTCTCAATGAATTGGCTCTGTCTAGGCAGTGGGCAAGGTGAACCTTTTGAACAGTTACATTAGGGAGTGGCTTGACAGATGATTGGTTTTGACTCCGTCATTCATGAAGTCGAAGTCATGAAATGGAAACCAACTTTGCATAAATTTTATTAGGGAAAAAATTATAGTAGTCAGGGAGATCTAATCTAGCCAATTCCCATCTTGCCTTTAGCCTTCAATCTGCCCTTAAGTATTCCTAGGCTTAAGCCAAACTAAACTTGGAAGACATTTAGTTTATAGTTTAAATGATGATAGTCCTTCCCCAAACTTGACTGCCTTTGTAAAGCTAATGAAAGACCATCAAGCTAGGAAGATAGAGGAGCCTGAATTCTACTAAAGTGTAGACATAAAGGATTGCCAGCCATTATTCCTGGGGCCACAAGATATGCAACTTCCCCAATTACTCTTTCAGATAATATCACTGTTGTAGAACCTAAGACTGGACTTTTGAGATACCTTTTAAAGTTTTTTTCATGTCTGACTTGAAATAGTTGACCTGGACCAGCCAACCATTCCTGTGGTCCCACCTAGAAGTAACTCAGCACATAGGAAAAACATTTTCCACCCCCCTATAATTGCAGCTCCAACCAATCAGCAAGCCCATTGCCTAGGAACCTCCATCTCTTCCCCCCAAATCACCTTTGAATGATCCCTAGCCTCTGAGCCTTTGAAGAAACCAATTTGAGTAATAATAAAACTCTGGTCTTCCATCATCTGGCTCTACCTGTATTAAGCTTTCTCTATTGCAATTCCCCTACCTTGATAAATAGGATGTACCTGGGCAATGGACAAAAAGAACCCATTGGATGGTTACAATATCAGCTAATGTTTACTAGCGACTTTCGGCTAGAACATCCACTAATGGCCTCTCCATGTGTCCTGGGTTTCCTCATAACATGGTGGCTAAAGGGCAGCATTGAGAGAGAGAGAGAGAGAGAGAGAGAGAGAGAGAGAAATAGAGAGGTAGAATATGTCCTGCCTTTAATGTCTTAGTTTTGGAAATCATGAAGCACCACTTCGACATTATTATGTTGACCAAAGGATTTACAAAGATCCCCTCAAGTTCAAGAGGGAGGAACAAAGACCTCACATCCTGATGGAGAAATGCTAACATCACATCATAAGAAAAGCATGTGGGATGGAGTATAAATATGTTTGGTTGTGACTACTTTTAGATAAAGCAGTCTGCCATAGGGTATGACTCCAGTCACAGCATGCACACAAGAACACACACACACACAAATCTTCCCCCAAGCCCTGACAATAGTGGGGTTGAGGTAACTAGGGCTCATCAATTTAGATTTCAATTCGCAAAGAAGTGTGGGGGTTCTTGTGAAACATTCGCCTATAGGGATGAGAATTGCTTTGTGCAACCTCTTGCAAAGCATTCTTTGAATTGCTGTCTGACACTCATTTGAAGGGTGTTTAAAGAAAAAGAAGTCTCGAAGTCAAAATTGAAAGTGCAAATTGCAAATGCTTCCCTTCTAGAGTGATAGGGCTATAAATACCGAGGCTGTTTCTGTTAAACAACAAATGGAAATGCTCCAGAATCAATGAGAGTTGTTAGCACCAGGGAAAAACAGCATCTTAAATCCTTACGTTAACAATTAAATCAGACACTTTTGACACTTTCTCGGAGACACTCCTGGCACCACTTTACTCTTCATGGCATGATTCAGAAACTCACAGCAGGTGACAAGCATATTTTGGAGGATCATCAGTTCAGCTTTCCCAGCACACTTCCTAAACATAATTCAATATATTATATTCGAGCCAGTTTCAGGTTTTTTGAAAAAAAGGTGATGGGTAAAAGTGAGTAGGCTTCCGGAAATGTACTCCATGGCTCAAGAAGCTAAATAATTGACCTCAATAAGAGTTGAATATTAACACATTTAGAAAAAAATAGTGATTTATTTATAAGATTCCCAAGGATCCTGTGTTACAGTCTCTATGAATCATGAGTAATCCAGTGTCCTGGGAGAGCATGAAGACTTAGAGCTGACTCACCCTACTTTACATGGTCCTTATTCAATTAAATTAAAAGTATGCTTCTTGTGGTCATTATAACTGGGCTATTTTTATAAGACACCTAGCTGCTAAACAAATAAGAAAATAGAAACAATAAAACTTTAGAATTTTAAGAATATTATTTTTCTAAAGTGTTCTAAATGCTTTGAGTCTGCCCCATTAAAAATCCTCGCTAGATTGAGACTGTTGCCATAATTGAATCATGAGGCAGGCATAGCTTCTAGAAGCCTCATTGCCAATCCATGAACTGAGCAGCTGATAATGCAGCAGCCACAAAGGCAGAGGCTGTGTGAGGGAGCTCTAAGGAGCTGACTGTAGGGTCAGACAGAGCAGCATTTGAATTCTGACTTACCTATAAGCTGTATGACTTTGATGAGTTCACAGACCTCTCTGAACCTCAGATTTAAC